TGATTCCCTTATCAACATCGATTGTAAACATGGCTTTCTGACATCCTGCAACTATGATTCGGTTTGTTTGGGCCGTGAAGCTCATGCAGCGGAGGTCGGTCATTTCCTCGTGGGCAATGTGCCATTGCGTCAGGCCACGCCGGGTTATCATATGTACACTTTTTGACGAGAGCGAGATGACGCCCCTTTCATGAAACAGGATCTGCCGCACCGGCTCAGTCGCAGGGTGTGCCCGGACAGAGGTATACCTCTGAAGCTCAGGGCCGCAAAAGGAGGTCATTCGTCCCTAATGACGGACACAGGCACCGGTTAGCACAGCCCTGGAGAGCACACTTTAAAAACTTTGAAAACCAACAAATTCATTTCCGGCCCACAGTAGTTCCATCACATCGTCAAAGGCTATTGCGGTCGCGATTGTCGGCATGGCATGTACGCTCGGCGCAGGCACCGGAATGCGCGACAGTTCATCCCAATCGGCCTCCATGGCCTTGACATCGCACCCGACAAGGCGCGGGCTCTAGACAGGGATGGTATTCAGAGTATCAAGAGAGCTCAAGCCGAACGGTGGGTGTGTCCATTGGGAAGCAGGGTGAAAGCGGGCATCGTTCGGCGAAGCGCGAGTGCGGGGAGAGGTTGCCTGGAAGGACTTGTCGTTGGAGTGCCGGAGCACGAAGCACAGGCGAGAGATTCTTGAGCCCGACACCTGCAATAAGCCCCAGGCTCTCGTTCCGGGGAGCAGCAGCGCACGAGACAAAAGGCCTCCGGGTTGGGTACCTTCAAGGCATAGCAGCCGTCAATGGGGGGGTGAGGTACCGACGCAGCATCACGTGAGCCAGCTCCGGCGGGACGTGTCTTAGTCACCGCCATCACCGCCCCATCATCGTCTCCTCAGGCACCGCCTACCCGAACCATGGGTGAGCCCTGAGTCAGGGACAAATAAAGGAATTCCTAACAGAGTACGATGCTTCCAAGCTAGTCACCGGGCCGTGAAATTCTACCTATACCCCTGGGCGATGGCCTCTTGTTCCATCCAGCCAGGAATCTATCTCGCTCACCTACAGGAACTACCTTGCTGGCAGGTGTCATCAAGGCTTCAAGGGTCGATTGGGTTCATGCTGGACATAGATAGGACGTGCAGTGAGGCTTATCATTTCTATATCAGGAAACCCTTGTTTATACTCCTGCGGTGCAGATGCCAGCCCGTTAATTGGACGCCTGAGGCCCGAATGTTTGCTTGTCATCATAGTCCATGATTGCCCACTCTTCCTGGTTGAACGTGCTTTTTGGATTCTTGGAATCTGATGATAAGAATAGAAAGTCGAGCCTACTGTATGTGGTATAGATAGGCCTGTATACGATGATGTGCTCGATTGCCCCGTTGTTGGACGCCTAAAGGTAGATCTGAGACACACATTCCTGTGTCTACCGCAAGGTCCCTTCTAAGCAACTGCAAAGATAGAAAGGGCAGTATAATGACATTGAAACTGACATGCTCACGTCAAATATGCCAGTCATTGCTTCTGCATTCTGCGGGGTGAAATTGGCAGCCTTGCTGGATTTTATGCTCGTCTCTATCCAAACCTGCATGGCACAACCATACTCTTTCCCAATACGCCAGCATCCTCGTTTGCGACTCATGTCATCCGAGGATGGCCGAAAGCAATCACGCTCACTGCTGCGAGTTCAGCTGGCAAGTCCAATAGCAATTGCACTTCATTGGCCCCCGGTTCACTAAAAGACCCACCGTATTCGATCAAGTAGCACGTTCTGTCTGGACTGACATGGGTAAGGCCCCCCCGGCGTAATGAGATGTCTCTCGGGACCAGGCCCTCCACCGAATACGCCCGATGGCTCATATGGTGGCCTTATACTGGTAGCAACGAGGCTGGACCAGACGTACCAAGGGATAATTGATCATAGTGACATGGCATCCCGGGTGGCTTGTAGAAACTGATTATAAAAGGCTCAAGGACCTCGTATACCAAGGTCATCATACAACCATAGGTATTCTTCCTGTATCCGCCTGACTGAAAGACAAAATCTCGAACCATGAACTTTTTCTCTGGTTTTCAGCCTGCATGGCAGTCTCTTTTCCTCGAACACGACCCCTCTTTGATCGAATGGACAACCGTCTGTGCCAGTCAGCTGGTCGGGTTCCTCCTTCCGGGCCTGATCTTCTTCATGTTGGATCTGTTGCAGCCAGCATGGGCACAGCCATGGCGGAAGCCACCCCAATTTCCCACCCACCTGAAGTTGTGGAAGATGGTTCGATGCTCAACGAGGAACATGTTGACTGGCTGGGTTCTCCACGGACTGTACCTCTGGTGGGCGTACCCACGGACTCTATTCGTGGTTGACAGTCAGCTTCCCACATGGAAAGAAGCCGTTAGACAGTATATCGGGGTTTTCCTGCTTGGGGAGGGGCTTTTCTATGTCTTTCATAGGATGATGCATGAGAACCGGTGGCTGTATTTGAAGATACACAGTATCCATCATGGAACGGGGGTGGCACCAACCGGGATGTCAGTGTGGTATGGGCATGTTGTGGATCATTTAGTGTTCAACGGGTTGCCGTTGGCGCTGGTGACGCTGGTTCCGGCAATTGTTCTGCAAGCTCATATCTTGGTCGTGGAGGCGCTGTCCGTGTTGGCCCTGTTGAGCGGTGTTATCAGTCATAGTGGATATTATTATCGAGACAAGACGGTGTATGATCACTGGGCGCACCATGAGAATCCGTCCAAGAACTTGGGGGCCTATGCCATGATGGATCTATTGTTCAACAGCTATACCGGTCAGTCTTGCTGCTTCATTTATGACGTATACTGACTCGCTGACTCTGTTTTAGCCTCGCGCTAAGCAACTTGATGGTCTGAATAAAGACCACATTGTCGGGACTTGTGGTTGTGGAGAAGTCAAATAGATTGACAAGCTTAGTGGAAGAATACATGGCGGAGTGGAACGGGGAGAGAGCAGATCAACACTCGGTCCCTTCATCCAGGAAGGAGTCTTGAGTAGCGGCACATGACCGCCTTGCGTTGTTTGGACTCAACCACCTTGTTTCCCTTGTCTACCTATCTTTTAGGTCCATCGGCAGAATGAAGTTTTGGGCCTAGACTGAGACAGTATATTTTATCTCTCTAGTATCAGATACATTCTAGTTATTATTCTAGCTACTATTCTGGCTACCAAATACGACATATTTCCATTCCATCAATTTATACCCAACACGTGCGTCCTAACACTCGACCACCACCTATTTCTCCCCGCGCACCATCTTGGCCAGATTAGTAAATGCCGCACGGCGTTTATCGATGATATCATTGAAAACATCAGCAGGCCCAAGGCTTCCAATAATAATCTGGTCCTTCCCCTCAGTCATTCCCTGGTACGCCTGCTCCGTGAACTCGCCCACCGGCATACCGAAACTGCGTCCCGCCTCCTCGCCCATATAGTCGTGCAGTTCAGCTGGGACCTGTCAGCCAGGAAGCAATAAGGAGCATAGAGATAGGACTTACTCTGAACAGGGGGTGGGGACAATTCGATGACTTTCACCTTGGAGTTCCGGAGCTGGTCCCGCAGGCAAAGGACAAAGGCATTCAGGGCGGCTTTGGAAGCCGAGTACGCGGGGACCCATGCGGCAGGGACAATGGCGATATTGGAACCGGTGCTATCAGGTTATATTAGCCTTCACGACGCACCATGAGAGATAATGATATCCTTGAGAGAACGAACGCAACTCACTAGATAAAGCTAGTAGGATCCGCCTTCTTAGCAAGATACGGCAAGAAAGCATGCGTCAGTGAAACAAAACTAGTAAAGTTCACTTTGACCTCGTCATGGAAGCCCGCTAGGTCAAATTTCTCCGGATCGGCCATGTCAATCGGCTGCTGAGTACCGGCGTTGAGGAAAACACTGTCAATATCGGGGTATTGACGCATCATTCTGCCCCGTCGTGTATTAGCATGCTGGACTGTGTGTGTGTGTGTGTGTGTGTTGTAGACAACAGCTACAGTGGTGACTTACTCCGCAGCAAACTCGGGGATCTTATCCAAGTTGCCAATGTCGAACTGCACGCCATTGGCTTTGTCTGCGCCGTGCTCGGTCACGAACTCGTCTAGTCGATCCTTGCGTCGTCCGACGGCTGTCACTTTGGCTCCTGACTGCACCAGACGCGATGCGAGTGCTCGTCCGATACCTGCCGTGGCGCCGATGATCAGGAAGTGCTTGTATGGGAATGCCATGATGAATGTGAACAGTGGTTTGGATGAGTGGTGTGTTGAATTTGAGCTGGGTCGTTTGCAGTTTATATATGACGGCTTCCAGGATATGGTGTATACCTTGGACTAATCATGGTGATCGGCAGATCCGGAGTAACAGGGTAAATCCGCGGGGTTAAGCGCCAGGGCTATAGAGTTGTCGATCTTGATTCTTCGGCCTGTGGTCGGCATCCGAGATGACCCGGTTGTTGACTCTTCGCCTTTATACATTAAGGCCGATAGATAGGGGGCCATCTCCATGCTCGATCAGATTAAGCCGGAGCCACCTTACAAGCCGGTCAGAGTTTATTCCATCGTTTAGTACTCTGTACTACGTATCTAGATATTAGTACACCCAAACACCAATCAACCTCCTCATCCGCATCAAATATCCTTATTTACATACAATCTAGACACTTTCTCCCCTAAATGACAGTTCGTACACTCGTATTCTATAACTTCACTCTCGATCTCCCCAATCCCCACAGTAACTATGGCGAAGTATATCCCCACAAAATCTATCACATACTTAGAACCATCCCAATAATAATGAAATGACCTACAGAAAAGCAAGACCATACAGAAACAACAGAAAACAAAACAAACTTAACCAATTAACCCCTCCCACCTACCCACATATCCAGTACTACAATGCCACACACCAGCGAAGCTCTTCCCCCGCAACGGCACCCGCCAAGCGCCAACATCTTTATAAACTAAACTCCACCCGAACACCCCAACCTAGGCAAGGTGGTCGAGTGGTCTAAGACGTAAGACTGTATGTTGGCCCCACACACACATCATTACCTGGAAAATCTGTCATACTAATTTCTCTCAGTGAATCCTTAAATGGACGGTATCTTATTCCTTCGGGAGCGCGAGTTCGAACCTCGTCCTTGTCGATTCCTTTTTTTTTCTATCACCCTACACATACATTTTTGAGTTGGTTTTTTGGGGGCGGGAGGAAGGAGGGGTCGTATTGGGTGTGGATTAAAACCATGTAGTCTGGGTCTGTCTAGTAGGTATTGAATGGATGGGGAGATATGCGCTGTCGAGTAGTAGGACGTATCACAGCACTCAAGTCTAACCAGGTGGTTGGTTGTATGGATATTTGTTAATATTATCCAAGTTAGGAAACAAGTAGATGTTTCAGCTTCGATTACCATAAACCGTGTTTATACCCTTCTGTCGGACTATTGCATTTGATAACAGATGGAGAAGAATCAAACTACGTATGTATATGTACCAAGTCAAAAAAGTTACTTCCTCGGCTTAAGAACCAACTCCAACGCCCCCAGCGACAACGTAAACGCATCTCGCTTGCCCTCTAAAAACCCCTCGGCGGTTTGTCCAGGAGCAAATTCGGCGTCGTAGCGCCGGATAATCTGCGATACTACGTATCGGAGTTCCATGAGCCCGAGTTGCTTTCCGATACAACCGTAGCGACCTATGTACGTTAATCCACCATTTCATGGTTTTGATCTGTTCGAAGAAGGAAGGAGGAGGCGGTGTCTTACCGGTTGAGAATGGGACGAATGGTGAAGAGTCCTTGATTAGCTCCGGACGGGATGTCCAGCGTTCGGGGATAAAATCTTGAGGCTGGAGGAAGAGTCTCTCGTCTATGTGTGTGTCAGTGAATTGTAAATTCAGAGTCCTAGGAAGGATTACCTCTGAATAACGTGTGGTATGGAACCTGCACAACAGTGTTCCCCGGGATCCAGGTATTGTCGATAAGCAATCCGTCTGGAGGAGTCATGCGCTGCACGCCTGAAGGGACCGGGGGGTGCAGGCGCATGGTCTCGGTGATGACGGCGTCGAGGTAAGGGAGCTTCGAGAGGCTCATGGAATCCACCGTCTCCACGGTCTCGAAGTACTTGTCAATTTCATCTTGGAGGGTCTTCCGTACCCGGCGGTCCAGAGCTAATTGAAAGAATAACGTGATTAGGCTTGCGGCTGTGGTGTCGCTATGTCTGTTAGCTAGTAGATTTGATCTGAGCTTGGGTAACTAACCTTCCTGCGACGGCAACCAAGTATGCGTCGCCGGCTAGGTACATTTCATCGTTGAAGGTGGGCTTTTCTTGTGCGTTGTAGTCTTTGAGGAGCCATTCGAAAACATCTGGCTTTTCTGGGGTCGTCTATTTTATTACGGTCAGCAACTGAGAGAGTGCTGGTGTCTCTTCTCAAAAAACATACCTTCTTCCGGTCATCAACCTGCTTATCCACCCACTCCCAAAATCGCTTGTGCTCGTAATTGACAACAGGCGTTGCTTTAAATATCGGGAAAAGCCATGGCAGACGACCCAGCACCCCAACATTCGTCATATCAGCATGCAGTGAGGTCATAAAATAATGCTTGACGCCATTCTGCAGCATATTGAAGGACTTTCCAAAGGCCAAGTCGCCCATAACATCGAAACTATAGAAGTTGAACCAGTCAGACACATTGATGGGCTGTCCCTTGGTCTCTTCGAGGTGCGCCAGCAGTTGATCAGTATACCGAGCAACACGGGGCTCATAGTCACGGAGTGCTGTTCCGTCAGCCTGACTCTGTAAAGGCTCAAATAAAATACATACATTTCGCACTGAACGCATGATCCCACACTTTCCGGCGATGAGCATGTTCAGCCGGGTCGCGGATCATATGCATTGACTTGCGCGGGTCCAGAACGGTGTAGAATGGACCCTTGGTGCAAGGCGATTGGGAGGAGGAAATCGCATGCACGGCCTTGGGGTTGTTGATGGATAGCTCGGAAGGTCCTATATTGTTAACAAATTGCCAGGTCACGGATATGAAATCCTACCTAGTCGGACAAAGTCTCCGTATGTATTATGAAGCTTCTCTACTTCTTCATAGAGGTGCAGGTTCTTGGCCGAGAGCACAGTCCCATAGAAGTTGGAGAGACGGGCCGCAAATGGACCCGGGAAACGGCCCAGACGATGAAAGAGAACGCGATATACCAACATGCTGATCTCTATCCCTGCAGCCAGATTGGTCGCCAGCCAGGAGGTGATCTTGAGCGCCGTCCATATTGTGTTGTCTGGGTATGGGAGAAGTATAGCTTTAAGGAGAAACACCAGAACGACATTGGCGGTCGCGAAGACCTTCAACAGCTTGGTAGTCGCGAGGTCCCATTCTCCTATACGAAAGACCAAGACATGAAGAGCAACTCCGAGGCAGAAGGCTGCCGTGGAGAGTGACGAGCTCTGTAGAGTCGCCGTGGCGAGCATGGTGGGAGAGGCGAGCGGGTCAGATCCCGGGATAGGGATCGAAAGGGCTGCAAAGTCCCGCGGGGACGGCAGGGATATTATAACTGGGGCATTCTTCAGGGTGGTGTCTGTGCGACAGTGATATGCGAACGGTCTAATCTAGTCAGATATTTGGTTAGCGCATGACTTGAAGAAAAGGGTCATACTTACAATTGGATAGTCCGAGGGAGCGATTGACATGCCCAGCTCCACCGCGGAAATGGTGTTGCGCAATGCCACGACCCTGATTGGCTGGCCAGGAAGGGGGCTAGCAGTCACTAGCCCTGCATGGGCCCGGCTGCATCCCCGCCTATTGTTCGGACTGGTTCATCTTGAGGTGCATCATATTCCTAGACGCTCTGAGCTACTGTGGGTGGATTCTAGTCATCACTGTTCTCATCCTTCAGGCTGAAAATCGATTTATTCTAGCGGATGGCAGAATGTCCCAATAAAATTCCACATCGTGAGGAAGTGATCAAACGAGGGCGGGAGCGTCTGATATAGTAATTGAGGTAGTGAAAGTGAATATCGAACTATTCGATTTCGGGCTAGGGTATATTGGTGTGTTTCGGGGGTAGAGTTCAGAGTGGCATTTGTATATCTATTTATCTATCGTGTATGATGCTGATGGTTTCTTCGATATCTGACCGAGGACCAATCGGAGTTGAGATGCTTTACTGTGTAAAGTCAAAGGCTGAAGGGTTTGCAACTGCCCATGCGGAACGGTTATCACACCGTGTTGGATTGAACGGCTTAGGGTTGCGGCATGGCATTGCCGAAGACGTCAAATGATGTGATGGGCATAAAGAGCATATTAAATCACTGATGCTTCGTTATCAACATGAGGGGTTATCACGCCATTAGCGCTTATCTGTTATGATGGTCAGCTATCCATATAACTTCCCCTCCCCAATCTTGTCGACATCCATCACAGACAGTATCCAGATTGTAATCACTCACCATGTCTTCATTCTACGCCGAGGAAACCCCTGACGCAGTGAAAAATGCCAAGGTGAATATCTCAAGCCTAAAAGTCACTCTGACATCTGACCAACCTCATTCACCCAGGGCCTCCACCTCATCATCACCCTCACTCCCAACGGCAGAAAAGTCCACATCTACCTCGAAGAGCTGAAGGAGGTGTACGGCCTCGAATGGACCACCAGCCTTATCGACCTCGATACCCTGGAGCAGAAGAAACCCTGGTACCTGAAGTTGAATCCAAACGGTGTGGTTCCTCGTCCTACTCAACGTTCCCAATGAGACTCATATCCATCAGGCCGTATCCCCATCCTCATAGACAACACCCAGAACCCGCCCCATGTGGTCATGGAATCATCCGCAATTTTATTCTATCTCCTTGCAACCGTCGACAAGGACAACGTCTTCGGGTTCTCGGATCCGATCGAGCACAGTCAGCTTGTCCAATGGACGATCTTCTGGCATGCATCCGGCCAACCCATTCAGGGACAGTATAATTATTTCCGCCGGAATGCAATCGATGACAGTCCTCGTATGTTGATGCTGCTTCTTTCCGTCTTTAGAGTGCCCTCATTCTGAGATTGACGCTTATTGTGATGGTAGATGCGGCACAGCGTTTCAGGAATGAAGTCCTCCGTATATATGGCGTCTTGGAACTGCATCTGTCGGGAAAGCTCACTAACAGCCCTCGGGAGTATCTTGCTGGGTCGGGAACAGGCAAATACAGCATCGCAGATATCAACGCGTGGTCTTGGATACGCACGTTCAAGTCTATTGGCTTTGAAGAAAAGGAACTGGCCGCGTTTCCTCATCTGGATGCATGGGTGACACGTATAGCTGACCGGCCGGCGGTGCTTCGTGGACTGGGAGAGGCATATGATGAGGAGGTTCATCCTGAGTTGCTTATTTGCACAGAGTGATTAGTCGGCACAAGCAGGCTCTGGTTGCGTTATTGTCTCTCTGTGGCTTGCTCATGTCTCAGCCAGGTTCAATATAGCTTATGAGTATTTGGAAATGCCACGTGAATTGGTCCATGATGCGAACCGCCCATGGCCTGGGAACGTGGTGTGCCGCATCACGTGGAGTGAATGCAGTCTGCGTGAATGCAGTCCAAAGCGTGGCGACGCGCACCGTGTAATAGACAACAAAGGATTGTTTGGATTCTCTATTTTGCACGCGAGGAGGAGGCTCTAGTGCAATTGAGTCCTTTAAACTGCTCCTCTGACGCCAACCCTCCCAACCTCTCGCATCCTCACTATCCTATCTCGCGTTCCCATCCACCCTAGTCCAAGATGGCAGAAGAGTTTCCAAAGAAACCAGCCTCTGTTAAGCTGGGCCCGTTTGCCTATGATGACTATGGAATCACGGTGAACGGGATTCCTCGAGCATCCTCAGAGCTCCTGGGAAGGGTGTTCGCCGAAGATCCTTTGAAACCCTCCCGTCATAAACCAAGCAAGCGATGGATCACGGCCCAGCTGCAGCACTTCGGGCTCGACTTCCGGCCAGCGGATACCACTACCCAGCTGAGGGCTATTCTGGAGAACGCGTACAAGGATGGTCAGGTAGGCGAGGACCTTTCGACCAGGGGGGATACTCCGGAGACTGACATGTTAGTGCAACTGTCTCACACCATCCACGATCTCCTTGGAAAAGACGCTGTCTGGAATGTATGAGA